TCAACTTCACAACGAAGGGGCGACTGATTTTCAACAAACAACTTTTCAGCTTCATTCAGAGTCAATTTCAACTTCACAACGAAGGATATTGGACTCGAGATAACACAAGCTCAACTTCACAGCAAAGAGGCGGTTGGCTGTCAACAAACAATTTCCCAATTCCTGAGCCAATTTCAACTTCACGAAAGAGGATATTGGACTTGGAGCAATACAAGTTACTTGAATTTCAACTTCACGACGAAGGATATCCAATTATCAGGCTTAACTTCACGATGAAGGGGCCACTCGTGGTTTCAACTTCACAACGAAGAGAATCATGCATACAAGCAACATCCATCTCTAGATTGGATTTCAACTTCACGACGAAGGATATCCAACTCAAAGGAGTGTCTGTCAACAAACTTTCCAGTTTCAGAGTCGATTTCAACTTCACGACGAAGGATATTGGCCTCGAAACAACGCAACCAACATTGAATTTCAACTTCACGACGAATGATATTCAATTCCAAGGCTCAACTTCATGACGAAAGGTCCCTATACGATTCCAACTTCACAAACAGATTGACCTAACTTCACGACAAAGGAGTCATCTGTAACACAACAACACCAAGGTCTTCAGGTCAAGTTTCAGCTTCAAGACGAAGTACCTTGAGCCGGAAGACGATCCAGGAGCTACTTTCTAATACTTTGAGTTCGATTTTGACTTCACGACGAAGGACTTCATGCTCAGAAGTTTCTTTCAGTTTCGACTAAACCTCACGACGAGGGAGTCATTTCATGATTTAAATTGACAAACCAATTTCAATATCGGATTTCAACTCTACGGTAGGGGATGTTCGATATAGATAAAATTTGTGTCTTGAAATCTTTGCTCCATTTTCGTTACACGATAATGAGAAAAGAGGGGCAGTTGAAGACACCAAATTTTGTCTTTTGATATTATATAATATATTTACATTATAACTTATATTATATAATATGCTTTATTACATGTGGTGCACACACTTACACATTTATTTTGTTTACATTTGTGTCAGTGCCTAAATGCAAAAAATCGAAGCTCGACAATGACCCAAATCCCGTGTGACCCAAGTGACCCAGCTGCCCAACATCACGTGCATCCCATATGGATTAGGGTTTTTGTGAAACCCTAGTTATCTCTTCCCTCGTCTCACCCCAGCGCCGCAATGCCCAGTCAAGGAGCCCTCACGCCAGTCGTCGTTCTTCACGCAACTATGGCCATTTTTCACGGCAACACTTCAACAACCTGAATCCTCCGACGCAAGAAAGGCTCGTCCACCACAAGAACAAACCACAAGAGAGACCAAAAGCATTAGAACTCTAGTGTAAATAGGACTTTAAATATAAGCAAATACTAGGCTATACATAAGTGTAATTGAACTCCTTGTAACAGAGGATTGATGTACACGAAATACCCATAAATTTGAGAGAATCTACACGATTACTAGAGGCAAGCATCACATACAAACACGCATACTAGAGAAAATCGAAGCATTGAGAGCACTTGTAAAGCATTTAGAATAATAATAAGAAGAGATATATTTTTATTTTTACCTTTCGTTTCAGTGGGCCTTCATTGCATGCGTACAATTTTGTTCTGATTGAAATCCAAAAGAATCGAACCCCAACAGAGCTTTCGGTCGAGGATAAAAGGGGTTGTGTTTTTTTCGAAATATTTTTTTGATCTACACCTCGGGAGGCCTTTTTTTTAAAAAAATAACCATTTGATTTTCTAAGAAAAGAGAGGAAAAGCTTTTGAAAAATCAAAAAAAATTACCACCGATGATCGGCGACGACGGGCGATTTATGGGTTCATTAAGAACCCAGGCGGTGGCATGTTTATCATTGGATGAACAAATGAGAGAATGAAGCTATATGGGGGCACTCGGTTTCAAATGAAAAGAAATGAGAAATTAAGCCAAATCATTGGCTTAAATGTACGACTCGTGAAGCCAACTGACCCGACCCGTTGCACAATGGATCCGCGTGTTTTCACGTAAAATTAGGTTAAATCCCATTCTGGTCCCCGTGAGTTTTAAAAGTGCATTTTCGTCCTAAATCGAATATAATCCTCAATTTTCTTTACAAATTTATCCCTTAATTTTGCTTCTGTTCTAATTTAATCCCTACTATTATTATATATTATATTTCATTATTATTACATTTTTTATTCCTTTATATATATTATATATACGTCATTCTTATTTTATTATATATATATTTATAGCTATTATTATTTCTATTATTACTATTATTATTTTTAACGTATATACATACATACATATATATATATATATATATATTATACGTATATTCTTTCTATTTATTTCGTTTACTTTATTTTTTTTTATTGTGTTTACTTTTTTTCCTTTGTTTTTTATTTATTTGATATATGTTTTATTTTTATTTCTTTGTTTCTATATAATTTTCATTCCTTTTTTTATATGTTTGCTTTTTTCTTTATCACTATTCACGCGTGTATATATATATATATACATATATATTTATTTAGTATTTTTTTTTTCTTTTATTTATCCTATTTATCATTAGTTTATTTTTATTGTTCATTCTTATTTATATCATTGGTTTTGTAGTTGTTTTTTATTTTATTTATTTTCATCACTCTAAATCTAACGTTTTCTTCTTAAGGGTCTTCATTCAAATTTATCAGAGGTAAGTAATTGTGGATCGATATGTTACCCTTTAGTTTAAATCTACAACTTTCTTAATTAAAGACAACTGGAAATTACGTAGTACCGAAAGGACAGTTCAAGGGTGTTAACCCTTCCTTAACTGTAACCGACTCCCAAATCCGACATATCACTGGTAAGACGCAGATCTGGTAAGTAATAAGGTATACGGTCAACTCATTTTGTTTAAAGTAAATGATCAGTGGCGGCTCCTAACCCATTAAATCCAAATCGAAACTCAATTTCGGGTCCAACCGAAAGACGGTTCCGACACGTCTGACACAGAGATTCTAAACAACGAGCACAAGAAACTCTATGCGGTTTGAGCTCTAATGCCCTAGAAACTCTTTATCTCACGTTTATAGATTTGACTAACCGTAGCAGAAGCTTAGCAAATTGCAGGTTGAGCTAATTGCAGATTGCAAAATAGCAGAGAATATGTAGACATTTCATTTTTGTAGTTCGATTGATCAAGAAATCATTCAATGATTTGGCTTGATTGCCAAGATTATCCATCAACATTGTCATATTTAACTTACTGATCTCTTTTTATCTCAAAATTATTGAAATATCTATCTATATCTCTTTCAATTGTGCTTTTCCCATGTCACATGCACAAGATTCTCAGTGTCATACAGTTCCTTTTCCTCTTCTTGCAACACAACAAAGGAAGAGTGCCAGTGAGTATTGCAATAATTCTCTCACACAGTTTCCTTCTTGTCTGGCATCTTGAAATACTTGACATGGATAGGCTAACCCTTTTTAGATTTTACCACATCGTAGATGAAATCTGTTTCTCCGTGCTTACCGTGCCCTGTGTCCCCGGTTTTCTGTAATGTCTTCGATATTTCTTCATATAACTTATAATTTGTAGGTTAGTTCAAATGGTTCCATAGGCCAATCATTGAAGAGGAAAGCTGTAAACTTTTTGTACTCTGGTAATGTTGAATACTATGGCTTCATTTGAGTGAGGGCACCAGTACTTGACCATGATAGTGATAGATTCTACCTGCTAGTTGGACATTTAATACCTAGTACATCTTTTCATGTCTCTCCCATATAAACTCTTGTTATCTGACTTCTTCCGGTGGCAGCGCCATCAACATTCGTACAAAGTCCACGAGTTCATAGGTTGTCAACATGTATTTTGCTGTGTTATGCTTGTATTTTTGGGGTCTTTTGTCTCCAATTAGTGCTGAATGCAATGAACCTTTCTTTCTATGGTTGTTCTTTCGTTCTCTTCTTGTCGATAATCGAGACCGTAGCGAAGACGACGCTGTAAAGGGGATGGACCTACGCACCCGGTTAATGTTTTCTTATTTTCCAGGTAATTAAGAAGAGTAAAAAGATTGTAGCTGAAGTTGTTTTGCAGAATGTTTTGCTTAAATTTAGAAATTGTCTTGAGGAAATAATATCGATGCCTTGAACCTATCCTGACATTTCTCACATGCTTTTCATTTGGTGGCATGGTCCCATCAATGCCTATTAGGGGCACGCAATTCCTTTTCTTGATTGCTTAAGGCCATTATACCATGAATGATTGGATATATTATTGTTTCTTTAATGAAGTAAAAATGAGCAGCAACCTTATTAGCTCAATAAGCAACAAGTAAAAGCAACACAAACTTATTATTGCAGTGGTAGCATTTAGGGTGTTGTTTTAGGGTTTTAAACTACCCTATTTATTACTTGTTACTGAAATAATACTGCTACAGAAAACGTTGTTAGCATTGACTAGCCTGTAATATTAAAGTAATGGAGGGAATTGAACTATTTATTGGACTGTGGTACAAGCTACGGTCTGAGAAGCAAATTCGTCTGAATTAGTGTAATCTCAAAAATAAACATTATCCCTTCACAAATTAACAGTCTTTCAAATTTCATACGTCCGAAGTGAGGAAGTGGAATCCACTTGTACTGCGCACTTGGACAAAGAATTTTGTATATTTAAATAGGAAGAGGGACTACCCTTCTATGAGAGTTGTAGAGGGATAAAATTATCAATCGATAACTATGCACTTCAAGCACTCGGGTAACCCACTAAAATAACCCCTTAATATTTGCATAACTAAAACTTATGAGTATATTTTTAAGTTGAATTTTACTTGTGTTTCAAGATGTTTCATTTCATTGTTATAACACAGTTAGGTGATATGGATCATTGTCAAAATGTGAAAAGGTGCTGTACGGAAACCGGGAATTCTTAGTAAAGAGAATGTCTTGTCCCAGTTGAAGCAATTATATAATCTTGAGCAAGAGCAAAATGCAATACAGTCGGGATGTGGGGTTGGATTATTTTATTTTTGAAATTTGAATAAAGAACTTCCATGGAAGATTCTCCAAAACCATTTTTGTTTTTCATTTTATTACTTGAACAAATGACGGGTTTTCAAACATGTTTCTAAATACCACACTCCATTGAAACGGCACTCACTTTGAAGAATGTAACAGGAACAGGATTTTCTCATGTTGGATTTGCAGCTCAAATGCTGCAAAGTTCTGATCTTTCTTGGTCCCCACAAACAGATATCTTTGGGCAAACCCCAAGTTTCTGAGACTGTTTACAGTGAGCAATGGCTCCTTCAATTGAACCTTCAATCTCTGAATTGGCACTGTTGCTTCTTTTCAGCAACTGCAGATCACAGACTCCACTTGAACTGAATGAAAAAGATGTTGAAGAAGAAGAAGATGTTGATGAAGATGAAGACTTTGTTGCAGAATGCCTCTGAATTACACCAGAAAAAGACCTCCTGTGGCTATCTGCAACATCCTCAGCTAATAGGTTCTTCTTTGCCATTTTCATGTACTTTCTGTTGGTGTCTAAACCATTTTCTGTTGCAGCTTTGGCACAAGATTCATCTGAACAACCAGATTTGGTAAACAAAGACTTGAGATACTCTCTTGATGCCTTGAGCTTCTGTGTTATCAAAGATTGTTTCATCTTCTTCATCTTATTAGACCAGGACTTGTTTGAATCATTGCCTCTAAAGCCATTCATTTCAGTTGACCATTCAAAGAAATAGTCTTCTGGGTTGAGTTCACTGCTCAATCTACATGATTCCAATGGAACACTCCCATTTGTTGAACCAATTGCATGAGTTTCTGAACTTTGAAGGAGTTTCTGAACCATTTGCAACCGAGGTGGGAGGTGGAGAGGGAGGAGTTTCCCCTTGTAGAAAAGCTCATCAGCAGGTGAAGTTGTTGAGATAATATCTCCATTGCAATCAACACCACACATTTGGAACTCAAACTCTCTGCTTTGAGGTGGGGAGCTTATGGAGCAACACAAGAACTTGGAGGAGGAGGAAGATGAACTTACCTCCATGTCTATGTACTCTTCATCTGCATCATTGTTGAATGAAGCTTGGGTTATGGCCATGGCTTTGAACTCTCTTGTGAGATGGGAAAGAAAGGAGAGAGCTTTGGTGAGGAAAGAGAGGACCAAAGGGGCATCCTTTAAAGTAAGGAAGGAGCCAAGTTAAAACAAATAAAAATCATAAGGATTTGTCAGGATCTTTTCCAGTTTTCCCACACACCTTTTCTCCATTGTATAGTAATATCTTGAATGCTTCCAAACAATAAAAGGGCTCAGATACTGTATTTTTTTCTTTCAATTTATCCCTTCAAATCTGCATCCAAAAATTTATGTGGCTCGCATACAGTACTCTTATATATATATATATATAATTCTATTTCATCATTTACCTCATACCCTTTACAAAATGTGAATTATAACCATTTCATTTGTCCTCTTTTGACTCACAAATATTATAACTAAAAAGCTTGAGGTTAGCTTAGAAGCCTCTTATTGAAAACCTTAAATGCCATGATGGAGTTAAGTTCTAATTTTGAGAGAGAAAGGTATCTAAGTTTAAAACAATATAGTTTTGTAAATATTTAATCTAAAAAAGCGAAGTAGGCAAATCTAACTCTATTAAGTTTAAACTGATAAAAACTTAAAATGCTATTAGAATAAAAATTTTGGGAGGACAAGAACCCCTCCGGCTCTCTCTCTATATATTCATGCATGCAACTCCATATTCTTTCGGCATAATGTCAAAAAAAAAACTCTAATATTTGATTAAATAATTATCTTAGTCTCTATTTTTTAGAGTATTTATCTTAACGTTTCATTCTAACAAAAAAAAAATTATAATGTGTGACTAAAGTCGTTTTAGCCTTTATTCGTTTTTAGAGGATTTTACCCATAATATTTTATTTTAAGATAAGAAAAAAGTCCTTATCTTAAATGCCAACCGTTTGTTGACTAACATTTCCATCAAATGAGAAACCTTTTTGCTATTATGCCTATTTTTGTTTTCCTTAGGACACTTGAGTGTTGCCATGTTTGTATATACTGTGAACTAGAAATGTTGCTGTGCAGAAGGAAAGGAATCTTCCAAAACCAGAAAGAAGGTGAGAGGAGTACACTGTACCCTTTACTCCAAAACCTGGTCAACTTTTCAATTTAATAATGAATTACAGCCTCGAACAAAGAGGGATACTATTATATTATTATCTCCATTCCTCATTTCATTGATCAAATAATTCAGAGGAGAGGATTTTAAGTATATATATAAGTGTTTAAGAATTAATTAGGAATTTAAGTAACTTATTACCATTAGAATGAAATTACGAGTTCTATTTTCTAAACATATTTTATAAAATTTGTCATTCCCCATAATAATTTTACATGATAATAATTTTGATCTTTAAAATTTATACAATTTAGCAATTTAGTCTTAATAAAAAATAGTTGGGTAAACTACACATTTAGTATTTAAACTATCAGTTTTGATCCGTTTTAGTACATAAACTTTTATTTTTTTTTTCAAAATCATACCTAACGTTTAGTTTTTATATCATTTTAGTATCTTACAACTAAAAATTTAATGGGCAGGGTAACGGGCATAGTTTCGGTGGACGGACGACCAATCTAAACGGTGGACCATAAGAGAATGACGATTCGACCGATATAGCCCAGTTTCAGGCCCATCGGACGGTTGAAAACGGAGATCAGAGGATGAAGAAGTCGAAGAGTTCATTACTGATTTGGGAGATTAAGGCATTCTCTGATTAAATTGAAGCCGAAATCACGTTCAAGGGGTCGAAAATGTGTGGGAGTTTGGGCTTCATTGGCCAACGGATGCAACTACTATAGATGCGATGACCGGTGAGCCCGTCCGTTAAATTTTTATCAACGGGATACTAAAATGAAACAAAAACTAAGCATTAGGTATGATTTTGAAGGCATTTAAAATTTAAGTACTAAAACATACCAAAATTAATAGTTCAGGTACTAAATGTATATTTTATCCAAAATAACTTAATAAATTGAATACTTCGTATTTAAAAATTATATCATCTTAATCTTCGTTGTTCGTCTAAAGTATTCGTTATTCTCCTAAAAATATCATATACTTTTATGGTATAATAAAATTTAATAATAACTTTATTATTATTTTATGACAATATAATTATTCAACTACTACTTTAATACGATAAATTCACTTAGGGTTTAACAATATTACAAAGAAAACAACCATAAAGTCCATTCACCTGGAATTAACAGGCGTGAACCTTAAAAAAAATTATTGTAACGGTAGAAAAATTATTAGTTGGATCTGATTTATCATGTTATCTGTGATTTTAATTAATAAAATTTATGTATCTCATTTTTTCTACATATAAATAAGGAGTAAGTAATTATTTAAAAATTAATTTAAAATAAATGCATTTTATTGATTGAAACCATAAATAACATATCTATCGAATAATCTATCACCATTTAGGATATGTATACGTTGACTGCAGCTGTGACATCACTAAAGCCAATCATAAAATCCATTCACCCCATAAAAACAATAATAACCAAATAATAAGCTCCAATATTTTGGCGTGGGGGAGAGGTTTATCCAAGGCTCGAGGACCTTTTATTATTATTATTTTGGTTGTCTCCCCTTGCAATAACTGTTTACTTAGGTCCAAGTTTATCAAAGACCAGCCGCAATATTCAGTATGAACACTGCACCTGGATCAGTAACACATACAAGAATGAACACATAAAATTGCTGTTTTGCATAATAATTAAACCCTGTCTTAACGATTTAAACGTGCCAAGGCTGATGGTATTCATTGTCACCTTGTAAATTGGTTCAATCTTTTTGCAGATTGTCATAACCATTTTTTTTTTTTGAAAAACAATTAAATATTATTTTAAAAGTAGTTATGACTTTAATTTAAAAAATTTGAGGAATTTGGATTAAAGGAATAGGAGTCACCATCGATCTTTGAGTTAGGTAGGTCGAATACCTAAAAACGTCTTTTTAAAACAATCTTAAGAAAAATCATTTTTAGGACGAAAACTGGTCTGCGTTTACCAAAGATTCGATTTAAACGGGTTCGGGAGTCGGTTATGCGTGGGGAAGGATTAACACCCCACAACGCCCAAAATTGGTACTGTGTCGCTTACACGTTGTCGTAAATGGTGAAAATAATGAATTCACATTGACAATTAAAATATGATTCATTTATCGAAATTAATTAATTTGCTTTGAATTATTTAATTTGGAAAAATTCTTTAACTTGAAAAGAAACTTCGAGATTAACAATCCTCCATCGGGAAAGTTGTCTCGTCTATTTCTTATCCGTAAAAAATATTTCCTCATCTATTAAAAAATACAAATTGAATATAAATTAAATACGGACAATTTTTATGAAATAAAATAAATTGTTATTTACAACAATACTCATTGCATCATTTGAATTACAATAGAAACAAATTAATTAGTAAAACAGAAATTGATTTATTTCAAATTTTCCTTTCGTTTGAATGTTGTATTGAATCGCACCTCCTCTATAAGGTGGTACTTTTCACACCCATTTTACGACGAATGTTCTTGAAAATAATAGAAGGGCATATTGACTGAAATTTAATTAATAAATAAGCATATCGTAATAAACAACATATACATATATAAATATGTAAAGTAAAATTAACATAATACACATACATGTATACACATACATAATGGACTAAACTGAAAACAAATAAATATTACAAACCGAAATAAAATGAGCAAAAATAAGTATTTGAAATTACAAGGATCAAAATAATACTTTAACCAAATTAAAATGGCTAAAAAACTAAAACAGAAGTTTAAAGGACTAAAATGACAAAAACATAAAATTAAAGGATCCAAATAAAAAAACAGAAAACCTAGGGGCTAAAATAAAAAATAGAAACTTTAGGGACTAATAAACAAATATAAACAACTCAGAGTCTCAAATTGCAAGTATTAAATAACTTAGGTATTAGAAACGAAAATAACCCATAAATTATATTTATATACTAAAATAAAATAAACAATAAACATGGAGGACTAAATAATAATTAAACCAAAATGTTAAACAATGACTAAAATAAAAGATTTATAAATATCATAACCAAATTCGAACACCCAGGAAAATATACAAAATATTAAATCAAGGATTAAAATAAAGGATTTACAAATGTTATGGCCAACTTCAAACATCAAATGAAATATCAGAACTTATGAAAACAATGACTAAAATAATAAAGTTACAAATATTGTGGCCAAATTCCAACATCCACAAAATTACACAAAACACCAGATCAGTGACAAAAATGAAATAATTACAAATATAATTCCCAAAGTCAAACATTAACAAAAATAATATAACACATAATAATAGGACTAAAAAATAAATATAGAAAAATAAGTGCTTAAAATAGAATAAAGCAAAATATTCATTATGACTAAACCAAAAGATTACAAAGCATGGGGAATTAAACGTGTAATTAACCCACACATTGAAATTACAAACTGGTCCCCCTCGAAACTACGTCGTTTCGTGGGGGATACTTAAGCCTAAAATCAGGCCTTCCTCTCATCTCCTATTCATTTCTCTCGTTTCAGAAGAAAAACAAGAGAGAGAGAGAGTTTAAAACTCTCTCAAAATCCCTTCATCGGAGAAGAAAAGTCAGCCGCTGGTGGCGGAGCTCACGGCGGCGCACGGCGGCGCACGACTGCCGGAGAAAGCCAAAAGACCCCCAAACTATTCTTTCTCTCCCCCACAACCCGAATCCCAAGTCCACTTAACCTAAAAAGCCCTTTAAATCCCTAGATCTATGGATTACCTTTCGAATCAAATCGAAAACACGTCGACCTTTGGATTTCCACAGCCTCGAACCAAGGTATGTTTCTATTTCTCCCTTGTAGCTTTATGATTTTCTGTTTCTCTGTGTTGTGTGCTAGGGTTCGAACGGATTCCCTTTGGTTTTTTTGTTTTCGATTTTTTTCTCTCTTGAGTTCTATTTTTCTTCTGGTTATCACCTTCCCCTCAACCCGAACGCTTCCCCTTCGAATCTCTTTGCTTTCTTTTTATCTTCTCTCTTCTCTCATCTTTCTCTGTTGTTTGATGGATTTGAGAGATACTTCAGTTCGTAGGGAATGATATCCCTATATTAATGCTGATAACTCTTGGATTTGATGAGATTTGTTCTCTGTATTGATTGAATGAGTCATTGTTGGTGCATATGGGAGTAGTCGGCGGCAACAGAGGATACAGGCGGCGGCAAAAGCTAGGTCTCAGAACTAGGGTTAGGGTTTAGTTGG